TTATTTAATGCAGCTGTAAGGGGTCAGTTCAGTCCACAATCATTGATGAACAGATGCCACAGTCACTAGGCTAGCGTTGCAGCAGGCTGAACCCTAACCCTCCCCCCTCCCCGGTGTATGTAAAAATCATTTTAAAATTGGAGAATTACTGACTGTCAGGGTTAATGGTCAGCTGGTGACTAGAGAACACTGCAGCCAAGGGAAATGTATATCTCTGACTAGAAGGGTTACCCCTCTCCAACAATCTCTTATGTGGTTAAGCACGGTGTACCATGTACATGTACTCTTTTTCACAGCAGTAAATAGCATGATTTCATTTACAATTTGTTGCCTTATATATCGGTCTGTTGGTATGAATTTATGCTGTGAATGATGTCACGGTATAGTACCCAGATTCTTTCCTTCAAATATTAATTTGCCTGAATGGAAATGCACAAATAAATACACATTTGAGAAAGTATGCTTTTTTATACTTAGAAATCAGGCCAACTTTAGCAGTGCAGCAAAATGCATGCAGAGGTTTCAAAAATGATGTATTTGGATGCATATGGCACACAACCCTGAAGACAAGGATAACAAAAGACTCTGCATGTGAAAGGCAAGTTTCTCAGTCCGTTCAATTTCTTATTTCAGTTTGCTTGCAAAGAACATAAAGCAATACATACTGGACACTGTTGATTTAGTATCACTTTATTCCTGAGAATGCCATCTGATGGGAATGAATGATCCCATTGACAAACAGTCACCAGTGATACGGTGAGGAGAAATCCACATGAATTTGAGGAGAAACAAGTTCGTTTTTAAAAACCTCTTCTAATGCCGACCTAAATGTTTTACTTGAGATTCTACACAACCACATACATGTATATGTTACTTCTACACAGAACACTGTTCTTGTTAATGACAGATGACTGTGTATAAGCTCCACGTATTCTGTAGCACATTCTTTTCTAAATAATATCAGTTAGAAAGATTGAAATCAATTCGCTGACTGACAGAATTAGATTTAAGTCAGTTGAACTATCAACGGGGCAAAGAGCACCTAGGCCTAAATTCACATAAATATTCATGCAAGCGTACTTGTTTCCTTCCTTTTCTACTGAAGCAACAGGAACGACTTGTGTCCACGGTCCAGATTGCCACACATGCCAAGAATCTCATTAAATATTGACGCTGCATGTCAGGTTTTCCTACTTGGAAGCCTACTGTGATAAAATACAGACAGCCATAGGCCATGCAGTGAAGAGATGTTGTCCATGGTATGCACTCACACTGTCAGATAAATGTTCATGTAGGGTTCTGGGTGAAACACTTCTGCAACAAATAATTCTTTTTTCTTTTCTTTTTTCTTATCTCTTTTTTCCCTTGCACACTTACCTTTATTTCACATCATGTGAACGCACTAAACTACCAGAGTGTCAAAAACTGTATTCAATGCTAAATTGGTTCGATTTTCTGGACAGGACAGTGGCTAAAAGTATCTTCAGGCCAAATAAATTATCTACATGTAACACCTGTGAAAACAAATTACTGTATTCACACACAAAATTTCCCCTTTTCATTATAGAAACTTGTACATATAACGTATAAGTAACATGTAGTGTATGGTGCAGCGTGGACATCCGGGATTTTTGCAAAATAACAGGTACTGCAACGGTGAAAACAGCGACCATGGTGATGTACGCACGCACCAGCCAGCCTGAGGATCGGGTTATACAATATTTTCTTTGATCTGTACGTACGCAGTTGCTGTCACCAGTGCAGTGTGGTTGCTACCCATATTTTTGTGAAACTCCCGGATGTCCGTACTGCCCCATACGCTATTATGAATGCTTCAGATTTTCCAGGGTCCTCTTAATGTTTACTCTTGTGTTAATATTCTCCTCATTTTAGTGGACTTGGGTCAATCATTAAGTTGGGACACTGTTACTGTCATCCCAAAGAACATGTTTGGGGATTGTCACCCCCACTTCACATTCATATAATTACCTGCATGTGCTAATTTCTGTATATATAGAAACTAGCACCAAATTCAGGGCAGGTAGAATTGAAGGTCCTGAAGGTAAGTGTAAAAATCTTCAGCATGTGCCACCTGAACTCTGTTTATATCTACTGTAAACGACAAACGTTCAAGAGAAATTTGGCAAAATAGCAAACTGACCCAGTCTTTACCGCAAGTCAAAATGGTCACATTGTTTTGGCTACAGTTGGACCATGCACATACGTAAGTTCATGATGGCTACAATTTTCCTGTATTTGCATGTGCTTGTTTTTAGGACAATTCCTTATTTTAGGGGATGCTTTTACCCAGTTTTTCGTTTTCTTTAGTTGCTTTACACTGGACAACTTTCTGAAATTCCTCCAAAAAGGCAAGCCCATATAAAAATGATTACTGAATAAAATTCAGCACCTCCAAATTGTTGGCCTAAATAATTCAAACCAATACTGCTTGAAGGTCGGAATACTTGTTCAGATCTTGAAAGAGAATAATGAACTATTGCATATAAATTTTCCATCTCATAAGAGCAGTTCCTTCATCCCCTAACCAAGCCTACAAACCACTTTTTTCTCTTGATAAGGCCAGTGAATCATGAAGCCGATAACACAGTCTATGTATATCTCAATAAGAGACAGAAAGCAGAGATAATGCTTGCCTCCTCCCTTTTTTCCCTTTTGAAAAATCAAGATGCAAACTGAATGCAGTGAATCATATCCACTAGTAATCCCTACAGGACAGCAGGGTGGAATTACTTGTATCAGTGTATGCATGGGGGGTTTAGACTAACGAGAGATGATGCATAATGGGTAACAGACACCACCCAACACAGCAGATTGTCATGGTTTGCAGCATCGTGCTGTCATTGAATCTTTGACATCATATTTAAACAGGCATGGATGTGAAACTACAAATAAAATTGCACGACTAAACCACTGGCGGATCTGGATCAACCCTTGTATTAAATAAAATTAACATACATGAAGATGGACCGTTCTCTGGTGAAAGAGAACTTGTTTATTCATTTAAATGCTCACTTTGGGACATTCTATGAAGGCAGTTTTAGGGACACCTGTTTGAAATTGTGTCCCTGCTCTGCAAAAAAACCTTTTGGCTAGATTCAACTCACTTTCATTTTTAGATAGTGTATGGCTCAAAACAGAGAGATGGGGCGAGTCACATTAGCACTGTTTCCCCATTCAGTGCAAATTTCAACACCTAAAAGAATTTCTTCCAGTGAATAACTATGCAGGCTGTACTTTGAGTGAAGAAGTAGATTACACTGTTCATGTTTTCAGAAAATTCTTAGTCTCCTTTGCATTTTAATGGAACCAAATTTTGACATGAAACTTGATATTGATTTATATAAAAATATCTCTCTGTGGCCTAGTTTTGAAAAGCTACGTGCGAAAATTATTAGCAAAGTTGTAGCTAACATGTTTCCACAAGTCCAACAAGTATGCTGAAATACATGTTTGATAAGGTATGGTGAGAATAGTCCGGGGGAAAGATTGCTTTTGGTTATGGTTATTGAGGCAGTAGTATTTGGACAAAACATTCAAATGTCCTAGGTGGTATTGAGGCAGTAGTATTTGGACAAAACATTCAAATGTCCTAGGTGGACTAAGATTCAAGTCCAAGTCTGGGTCTGATGAATGCTCACACTCAATTCTCACTATATCATCTTAAACTTCAATGGACATGGGCCAGGACTCAACTACAACACAGATCTTTGGTTTAAAAACCCTCTAATTTGGCTCCATGTTTTGATGAACTGTCTGTTTGGGTAGCCTGATGGGGAATGTTAAGTTTCATTCATCTATCCAAGGGCTCCGACAACATTTGCTCTTCCAAGTTGGGCTTTGAAAAATCACCTTGATGAACAAACCTGAGACTGCAAACATGCTACATGGATGATACTTTGTTATTTTGCTCTGTTCATCCCGACCATTCTTTCAAACTACTCCTATGGAAGTATCTCAAATGAATTAATGTGACAAACTCTGTGGCCGGGTATGATTGTTTGAACACAATTTGCCAGTCTTACTGCATATAAGAAATGCTTCACAAATCACCGTGCAAAGTATGAGGTTGTGCAAGGAGTCCTAAATATCTCATTTTAAAAAACAGCTATGCAGTTGCCTTGTTAAATAGAACAAAAAAGCTACAAATAAATGAGCCATTTTTTTCATTATAATTGATGAAGCAAGTTTGGCATTACATAATCTGAAACTGAAATCAAACTGCCAACCAGCAGAATGAAGAAAACGGCAGCACAGACATTTTGCAAAGCCATTTGGGCTGATTGCATACTTGTCCGCAGGCTTGAATCTGGAACTCCACATATATATTGCAAATCAAAAGCCCAGCGGCGCGTGAAGCATTACGCCGCTCGCCCAAGCGCGATGCCCAGTGCAGCAATTGAGGTGCTCTATTATTTAATTAATCATTCATATGGCTGTGCAGGAAGGGTGGGCAGACTGGTGGTTCCTTAGTTTAAAATTCATTACACTGACAATCTTGAGGCTGGCAACTGTACGTCGGCTTGTGTAATGTGTGCTGCCTACTTGTAGTAACATGGCACCCTGTCACATGTCACTCTGTCACAAGTCACTCTGGCATGTATTTAAAAAAAATTATGCTCAATTTTTGGGTCCCTGGTCATCTCAACAGGCTTTTAATTTGTGAGTGCACAAGCAAGTTCTCAACATTCAGGTGTGACCGGATCCTATAATATGGATCATATTTTCACTCTTTTGTGTTTCCATTAGGAAAACTAGTAGCATATTCTCCATTTTGAAGCTTTGATGCATCTCACAGTTTGACATCCTCATGTCAACAGACATTAAGAGGTTGAAAAATGTTGACAGTAACTTATTGTTTTTCCATTGACCTGAATTTAATTAAAGAAAAAACCAAAACAAAATCTGGCAATATCAGAGTCCACTTTGTGGAGGGATCACATCATACACTGTACATGAAATACATTGGGAAAGACAAGGTTAGGTTCCTCTCAATGTAAAAATCATAAATTTACTTTTAAGTCAAAAACCTACAGCACAAGATCTATGCAACCAATCGGCATATATCTTGTCTACACATAAATAGCCACTGTACGTGTATTGTATATTTGGCAAAGAAAAATTCCTTTGTGATGAGCAATGATATCTATCTAATTAAAGTTGAACGGTAAGACTCCCAGAGCTGGCCAACACGAGGATATTATTGAACATCTGGTTAGAAAATAACTGAGGTACCAGTAACAGAATACAGCTCACGACCTCACTGATTGATGTAAAAAAAAATAATTTAATAACACTTCATCTCTTTTTTGAACAAGCCTGCCACATATTAACTTATTTTTTTTTCTTTCCCTTTGAGCACGCTTGAGTGGAAGGGCAAATGTGTGATAATATTCAAGTACATGAACAAGGAGACGAAATGCTGCAGATAACATGTTATATGTTGATTGACAAATGTCAATTTCCTGTTAATCAGGTATGTATATATTCATGCTCAATCAAGGATTTCTGACGTCTCTCAATCCGAGAATCATCCATATGCTCCAAAATGAGCACCTGTTTACGAAAATTCTATGCAGTCCTGTGGGCCAGCCAATGGGGAGCTGTCGATTAGAAATAACACCAAAGGGTGATGATTGGTCAGTGGGTATCAGCTACCAAAGATGGTGATGGTTGATGCCTTGCTAATTGGTCACAGTTTAAGACTCACTTTCCTTGCATGATTGATTACCAAGTGAGTAAGCACATCAAATGCCTTTTCTGTTTTTGTACTTTGCAAAGATACATGTCCATGTACTTATCAGGCTTTTCATTGACCACTCTCACAGCTAATTTGGGCTGAAGCAACTTTAACACTTTTAAATAAAAGTGAATTTTTGACATTGTATTACTGGTGAATACTTAATGTTAATGAGTTTTCTGCTTTCCTAGCAGCTGAGTAAATAATGTGTCCAATCTGTAGGCAAGAAGCCTCTTCTAAACATGCTGGCATTCTTCATTCTCATGTAGCTGCGATACACGTATAAACATGCATCCAGTAACAATCCATTTTACATTAACATTTACAAACACACAGCACGGTCAACGAATTCCTTTTTTATTATAATTAGGTTTCAAATATGTTTCCAAAAGGTACAGGCAGTTAAAAAAGTGACTTTTTTTCCTTGGGAGTGCACTGGGTTAATTTCTTCTAGAGACAATTTTTGTGTTACAAATAGTGCTTTGACTGCAATTTACTCAGTCACATTTAAATCTATCTGATAGTCTCCCCCTCCCCCCCGACAGAAAGGCCAACATGTCCAGCCGCGGTCTCTGGCCCGTCAATTAACATACTAATGGTGTCAGCATCGTACTCATCAAATTGCAGTGGCTGTCTCATTTTACGCATGATGTCGTCAGATTGGCTGGCTGGCGCCAGTGAAGGTATGATAAGTTGCACCTAGCTTCTGTGGGACCGGTAAACGGAATATATCCATCCGCGCGTCAAGAACCCCTCAAATTGTCTGTGATGCAGTATAAAGGTAGCGTCTCACTGCTGTGAATAAATGCAGTCCATGAGCCCCTGGCTGAATAGATTGTTGTGCTATTCTTCTTGGCATCTTCAATATGCTATGTACATGTAGGCAGCAACTGTAGCAGGCATTTTTTTGCAAACGTCAATAACACATATTGATTTTTAAACCCTTCTTGTGCTAAAGTTGTTTTAAAGTATAAGTATTTTTATGACATACACGTGTATGTATGTCTTCGATCTATTATATGAAACACAATTTGATGTTATCTGAGACTCCCTTTACACAGCTGTCCAAATTTTTATACATCAGAGCTGTTGACTTTATCGAAAATTATTTCATATGTGATTCTAGGATGACAGTAGCTGTAATTCTTTCCCTATGACATATTTCCAAGCTGTTCCTTTCTCCATGGTACAAGTTTCAAGAAGGATGTCTCAAGTATGGGCACATTTTCTCTGGTGAATATGTCTGTCTCGTATAATAAAGGAAACAATTTGATGTCTTTGTCTACTGGTGCCGCTGTCTTTCAGAGACAACAGAAGACCAATTTCAATATAAACTCACTACAGAAGACCTTTTTTTAACACATAGACTGCTGACTACGAATATACTCATAGTCACAGGTGTACCGAATTCTGGCACTATGAGTACTGTATATTTGTAGGAAATGAAAGCCTGTTGTGATGTAAATTGAATACACTAGCATCACCGGAAAACACAACAATGTGGAGAACATACATCAGTAAAATGCTCAGGTTCAAACACACTTGTGAAAGCTACCTATTAAAAATGCACACACGCGTATAATGCTTGGCAAATGGGAATGCCCCTTTGAAATTATGCGGAGCAGTCAACAGGTTAAAAAAAAAAGAGTAATATACAGTAAATTGAAAGGCACCTTTGGTTTACTAAAGGTGTTCTCAACTGAAAAAAAACAGTGTTCAGGGCTAAATATACAGTACATGAATGTGCACACTGGAAACATCACCATGTGTACATACTCATATAGCTGTGCTTGCAAGTACATAACTGAAGGAAAAGACAAGATGGATTCAGGCCAATTAAAACATGCAAATAACAGTAAAGCTGCACTGTTTTATGGTGCTGTTCTTATACATATATGTATGTAGAGTGTATATCATCGTTTCTTCTACATTGGAAGTTCCTCAGCAACAATTTGGTTAAATAAGTACAACTATGAAGCATATGTGCAGAAAGACAGAACTGCTGCCCATGTAGTTTAATTTCTGAGTTAATTTAATAGCCTGAGTTTTCAATTATCTTCATACATGCCATACTGGGTATGTGCACAACTCTAAAGTCTTCAAGATTGACTCTCCTTTGTTGGCTAGGCACTACTGCTCACTTTGTTCCCATGTACACACATAGCACAAATGTAATGAGAAGCACAACTTTGGGTTTGGATGGATTGTATTCTTACTGGTTCATCTTGGTGTGGATGTGTGTGTGTAACAGTTACATGCTTCAGGGGATGACTTCAGTAGTTGTTACTTAAAACATTGTGATGATCAGGGACTTTATGGATTTTTTTAGAACAGTTGTGGCCCACCAGCGGCGGAACAATATTCAAAGGGGGAGGCCAGTTGTTAGACTATCAGGCATCAGCCATTAATAGGCTGATCCATTATGCCCCATCCAATTACAGAACCTGCAAACTCCTCCCCCCCCAGTCAAAAAAGTGAGGGGTCACTGGCTCCCCTGCCCTCCTCCCCGGCTTCCACCACACGTGTCGAGGCCAACAAACCTTGTCATCCGACTTTTTACACTGTTTCAAAATTTTACGATATATATACATCTTTTTAAAACAATTCCATAAGGACTTCTTGTGGCTACACAGTTTCAAAGCATGCAACATTTATACAGTTCTGAAGCTGTAAAAGAGCTTAAAAGACTCAATGAGAAGGCATTTAAGAAACTAAAATGTCAGATCATCAGCACCTGTAAAACCTATAGCAGTTTCCATCAAAGTAAGGAGATGCACACTGCAGATAGTCAGCAATCAACTCTACTGACCCAATGAATCGTGTATCACTGTGCATTAGCCTATACAAGCATGCATGATCACATGACAGATGTACAATAATGTCTCTTTCATTTGAGTATGTACCTGTACATGTACATGTATTCGGCCAATTTTCCCGTGACTAAGAAATCAAACCCAAACAGTCAACAAACTAGCTGACCATGCATGAAAACCATGTATATCCAGTTGGAGTACCAGCTTAGCTTCAATAAGTAGTGTTACTGTCTAAACAAGGACATTTCATTTAGAGCTAGGGTTTTAGAAGCCTTTTTTAACAGAAACTTATATTTTGGCCAAATAACATATTGCATATTGTCTGTTCTAGCTGTTACTGTCCACATCTTGATATCTTGCATGCTGTCAGTGATAATTACAACCAAAGGCTATAAGCTTTACTGCTGGAACTGAGACAATTACATAGAATGGTAGATTTGTACAGCATGCTCAGATGCCAACACAAGTTCCCCTTGTGCTGTGAACGTCAGGCCAAGTGTCGGCCCGCACCCTTTAACAACACACCCAATGTGGTTTCCATCAGGGCTGAAGCAGTGGATGTCCCCAGACCAAGGTGTTAGCACCGCCACATAGATGATTCCGTTCTTATCACAGCAAACGCTGCTGGGGCCCAGATTCTTGCCTTGCTTGGTGAGGTCAACATCCTCAGAAAACACCAAGACACCATCAAAGTTAACTGCCACCAGTCTCTTCTGACCATGGTTGGTGTAGATAAAACGCCGGTTGAAGATGATCAAGTAATCACCAATCATGGGAGCGGGCAGTGTTTGGATGAGCTCACCGTCCACGCTGTGGAGTGATATCTCTTCTTTGGCCTCGTAGCCTACAGCAATCAGCTCGCCAGTGTCATCCACTGCCAGGCATGTAGGTGTACTATTGGAGCTTCTGCCTGGCATGAACTCATGCAAGAGCTTGTCTTCCTGATTGATAATCTTGACAGAAAGACCGTCCAGAACAACTAGCAAGTCATTCCTGGTCACTGAAATGTGGCTGGGGTAATAGAGAGCGGTAATTTCTTGCCTCGGTGAAGTTGTAGGGTTCAGTTCATTGGATTGCCTTGGGAGTACGAAAGCAATTTGGTTTCGTTCAATGTCTGCTACAGCTATTTCATTATTAGAGAATGTAGCCACATCGTACGCAAACCCAAACTCAATCTGTTTCAGTTCAGTTTTCAATTCCCATTTTCCCAACAACTGTAAAGCTTCCATTCCATCCAATTCCACTTCAGGATCTCTCAGTACCAGTCTACCCAGGGCACTGTCCTGACCATTTTCAAAGTCCATAAAGGTGAACAAATCTGGCATCTTTTCTGGTTGTCTTTCAGCCACCTCATTGAGATTGTGCGTGAGTTTCTGTTTGAGTTCCAATATTTCCTGGTGGTTTTCTGTGGCAAGGAGCTCTTTTGCTTCATCCAGCTTGTGCCGAGCTTTGGCCAGTGCTTGCCCATTTGAGGCCTCAGCAATTTTCTCACCTCTCTCTTCGTAGATCCTCCTCACATCTTGCTTCATCTTTCGCTCTTCCTCTCTAATCCGTGCAACCTCTGCGTTGGCCCTGGCAGAGATTTTCTGTTTGGTGTTGGTGTAACTTGCATCTAGCTTCTTACAGGACTCTTCTGTTTCAGCAAAAGCAAGGCTCAGAGCTTTCAAGCTCTCTTCAGCTCTTGCAACAAGGTCCACAGCATCTTTTTTGAATGTGTCCGAGGCCTCAGAGATACCAACAAGTTGGTGCTCGGTGTTTTCATGCTCAAGGACCGAACAGTTTGTACACACCAACTCCTCGCATGTATTACAATACAGGCAGGCATCTGGATCTAAATGCTTCCCACACTGAGCAATACCCTCCCCAGTTGTAATCTGCTCAGATGAAATCACCGATTTCAGTTGGGCCAGCGTGCAGATCTTGTGTGATTTCATCATTGCCAAGCGTTCGTGTGCCCTCTGACACTCTTGACAAAGGTAATACTGGCAATCTTCACATCTTGAGACGGCGCGATTGTTCTCATCACAGGCTTGGCATTTGATCTCCGAGCCCTGACTGCCCCAAAGCTCATCCTGGAGAGCCACCATCTCAACCAAGGCATTAAGGGTCAAGTTGCTGGGCAGTGAGGCGGTTCTGTTCTCCTTTAGTGTTGTCTCTCGTCGGCACAGGGGGCAGGTGAGTTTCCCGTTGTTGGTGTTTTGCTGCTGTCTGAGCTCTTGCAGACACCTCAGGCAGAAGTTGTGCAAGCATTCCAGCATCCTCGGATCCCTGTAATAGCCAAAGCAGATGGAGCACTCCAGATGCTCAAGGATGCTCTGACCAAGGGATGAGCGTCGAGCGGCCATCTTGCTTGCCATCTTGCACTTCACTGAAGAACCAAAAGGTGACAATACAGTAGCTGCCGACCTGACAAGTTTAATAATACCAATAAAGTTGAAATTAAAACCGGTACACATACAGCATGTGTAGATGTATTAGATAAAAACAATGTCCTCGCTGTGTTGAGCAAGGGGTATGTTCATGTTTATACATGTATGTAAATGAAAGTAAATCAATGTGTAGAATGAATGTTAAAATTCAATGGAACCTTGTCCACTGAGGCCAGCATTTTGTAATTTGTTGAATTATCAATACCCAAAATCTGAAAATTTCAAGATGTACTTTGCATCGGGAGGTGTTAATTTCAAATATGGGTTTACCCGTACATTGGTGTAATGGCAAATCCTGTACTTAAAATCAACATCTCCCCAATACAAAGTACATCTTGAAATGGTTTCACAGTACCAGATGCCACATTTGACACAGACCAGCCAGCTGACACTGGCAAGCTTGGTGGTCGAGTGGTTCAGACTTCTGCACTAGTAAGCAAGAGGTTGTGGGTTCGAGTCCCATCCAAGTAAGTCTGTAGATTCTTTCACAAGCTCTCGGTCAAGCACTGAGTATACTGTGTTAATTTTATACGTTAGTGTAAGGGCAAACCCATACTTAAAATTAAGTCTAAATAAATGGAATAAAATGAACATTTTAAAAAAGTATCCCTGACAAAGGATTTGAACATGTTGAAAAAGAATTTCCTCAAGGCACTCTCACTTGAGAGTCCTGCTATAAGTAAGCATAGTAATTTTTCTTCATCTTCTGATAACCCTGGATAATTTAGTTGTGTTAAAAAGAATTAAAAACATTTTTAATTTTTTTATTTTTTACTATGTCCCTTGCCAAATTTCATGGTATATTTGTAAACCAATGAATAAAGAAAAACATGGCCAAAAAGTATATCAAAGTGCTGTCCACTATCAGCATCCACTTTATTCTGTGTTTGTTTGCCACTTCAACATATTAACAATCTACAAAAGAACCTCCAAATTAGTGTATCAAGATCATGCAAAAACCTTATCATAACAATGACTATTAATGACAAACAATGCAAGGACGTGACTTCAAGGTTTAACTCTACATGCAGGCCATTTATATCTTCCCTACATCAGCAATTGCAAATTCAGCCATCATAATTGAAATATCCACCAACTCCATACATCAAGCTCCGTCTATAATCTAGACAAGACCAACACATGTTCAATAGGTAAACAACTTACCTTGATTTTTCAGTACTAGAGTTCTCTTGATGAAAAATTCCAGCTGTATACTGTGTGGATCTTGGAAATTATGCCTCTATGGAGTTCTGATTTGATGCAATAGAGCATGCAACAATGGCAGTGAAGGCAGGCTGAAGGCAGTCAAGGCAGCAGACTAGGCGCGGCACAAAAATGTAAAGTACTTTGGTAATTCCCCACTTCTATATTTAGATTTACAAAACAGTACATAGGCCTGCATTATAATACTGTGAACACACATTTTTCAAACCTTGGGTTTGCCTGTGCCTATGGCTTCCATATTCTACTGTCCTTGACCATGAAGAATCCGATACAATACAGGCTGATTTTTGTGTTGTAAGAATGTACCTGCATGTAGGGAAACTTTTTCTCAGGTCAAATGAGAATAAAGGTTGTTGTGACTGTCTGGAAAAAGATCTATGTAGAGGCCAGTTTCATGCATGTTCAGATCCAATGTTAGCACAGCAAATTTACAAAAGTGGAACATGTTCCAACTCAAGCAAATTATACTACCAAGGTTTCTGGACATCAAAATAGCTTATTTCACATTTGCTTGCAGTATGAATGGACCTGGAATTTGAGTTTGTAACTGAAACTTCAATCTTCAGGTTTATTAAAATGACCCTTCTGTGTACATACCGATATCTTCAGCTAATGACTTCACTTACAACATGTGTTTCTATGCTTTCAGCATGTTTAATTAGTTATGACTGAAAATGGTCCAGAGAACAGTTTGTTGGGATATCCAAATGACTCATCAAATGTAGGGATGTGCTACCCCCACCATAAAAATTACAATGCTCAACCCACTGTGCGTTTCTTGAAATTGTACCACTTCATAAAATAGCCAACAGGTCATTTCTTTTTTATTTCAAATTAGAATTTCCCATTCCAGTTTGTACATGGTGTACTTTCTATCACATGAATGACTGCAGTGTATGGTGCATCTCCCTATTTCCCTATGCACAATGAAAGGCCCTCACATACAGTATACAACACGTACATCTGTACGTCCTACTTATCTGTTGCACATGTGAAGTTGAAATCTACGGGAAAATTGACTTGTTCCTTTTTCAAAATAGACACCAAAATCAAACAAGGGGCAAAAAGATGGAAACAAAGTGCAATAAGCCAGGTCGGAGTTTCAGGTGCACAAAGAACTGTGGGATAGAAAATGGATAAACAAACCCACATGGCATAGCCAGCGGGCGCTGCATGCATAGAGTTGTGAAGCTGTCAGGAACAGACATGCTGTCATTTGCTAAAAATTGTATGTACAGAATTAAACTCAAATTTCAAGTTGTCGTGTTAATCTTTATCTTTACCTCTGAACATTTTTAACAACCCACAAAGTTGGCTTTGCTTGGACCATGGCTTGGACAAAAATGTGACTTCTGTGAGATATTTCTGCATGGACAGGCATCCACGCTTTGGTAGTACATGATGCACATGGTACGTCTCTCACATTTTTTTTAATACATGTACCTTTCCAACAGGAGCCACTACAAGTTATGACTACAATGAAGCGACAAATCGACTCCTCTTTTGAGACATTCAGGATGTGGCACATACGAGAGCTTAAAGAATACATGAAAGAGAAGGGGCTTACTTCTTCAAATGAGACCAAAGATGAGCTCAATAACCTTTACTGCAAACGAGCCGTGTATTGATCCCAAGCCATCTGATATCGCAGAAAATGCTCTCATGTCTTCAACTCAGTACACAGAAAATTTTAGGATTTATAATATCCGCTTGCCTGATCCCTTTCAAATCAAGGATGGGTGGTTTAGTGAAAAGGAACCAATGAAATACTGGCCGCCTACCACGCCCATTGACATTGTTGAATATTTACTCCATCAATCAGACACAGCTCTGACTAAACGTCTCCTTTCTGATTACAAAGAGGGCAAAGCATACAGCTATTTTGAATGCCAGTGGCTTGGAGAGATTTACTACACTGATATGAAGAAAACCCCATTTTTTAAAGTGCACTCCTTAGAACGTAAAGGCTACTCCTCATCAAGCGTGGGTGTTGATTGGAAAGGTAACAGGGAAAGTACACAGGGCATACTGCAATTGCTTTGCTGGGGATGTACATATTTGTGGAGAAAGAATCCTTTAATTCAGTTCACAATGATGTTCGTTCACCATTTTTTAATGTTTCATATTAAGACCGCAATTGTGGATGACAACTGAAGTAAGTGCACTGTATTCATTTTCACAGGCTAGAGTCAACATGCGATCACGGGGCTGCACTGCTTTTCAAAATTGACCATGCCTGAAGATGGGCCACTCTTCAATATCATGCAGGCCTACATGTACTTCCCAAGAATGCAAATGGAATAAGGCATCAACTAAGATTGACCTGCAACCAATGCAAACCAACGATATGAAATGGAATATGCCCCATCATAGTGACGTCAAGAAAGGTAATTTTGCATTTAGGATAAAGTTTGCAGTGACTACTATGGAAAACAAACATACAGCAAATACTGCATAGTCAGTGTTTTTTATTTTAAGTATTTATAAGCTGTGTTGCTTGCATTGGAGTGATAAAAGTATCTTGGTTTTGCACAGGCAAGAATACTTAGTGCATAACCACGTACATGTAGTTTCTTGGTGGTTCATTTTGCACTAATGGTTCAGTTTTCAATAAGGAAACTAAACATCTAGTCACCAGTTGATCCCCTAAGTATTACTTATAAAAAAAGAGAGGTAAAAGTAGCAAATTGTCAATATAGGACTTTTTAAAAAATCCTTTCAAATTTTACTCTGAGAAATGCTTCATTTAAATAGATAAGACTTATGGTGCAACGTTGTACTTTTTCTGTAAACAGAGTGTTTTCATTTGCATTGTAGTTGTGTTACACAAACTTGAAATAAATCTTCTTGGAAATGACAAACATAGAGGTTGAACTTTTCCTCATTAATGCCTTTGTTTTTACTTTGTAAAATTTACAGATAAAAAAGCAAGCATGAATCCTCCATCAAGCTCACTTTTTAAGCCACCCAGCAAAGTGCCAAAGACCACTACACCCTCTCTATCAGGATTAGTTCATGCAATGTGTGCTAGTAACCAAAACGCTGCTGCATTTTGCTATGTTGACTTGAGTCAGATATTAATGTCGATGGTGAAACTGAAATAGCCACATTAGCTAAACTGCCAGGAACAGTCACAGACTTTGTACAAAAATGCCACAGTGTTGATTAAATTTTGAATGAAATGCCAAATATTTCTCCAGATGAAGAGAACATTCTGGAGAAGGCAACCCATGACGAGTCAGCTAATTCAACCTGGCAACAACATTGCATTGGTAGAATTACTGCTTCTCAGAGGCATGGTGTTATGACAAAAGTGAGACAAAAGTCTTCAAAATGCAATCAAAATAAAAACCATGAAGCTCTTGTGCAAAAAATCTGACAACCGTTAAAATCTTTAGACCACATACCAGCAATTAAATGCAAATTGAAATGGAGCCACTTGCAAGAAGTGTATACTCATCCATGTACAAAAAGAACACATTAATGCCCTCGTGACAGAACCTGGAATGTTTGTTGATCAAAACCACTTTTCTCTCTGCAAGTCCAGATAGACTACATGTACGTGTACTTTCTTGCCAGTGCTGTGGAGAGGGATTGGTTGAAATCAAATGTCCATTAACTTTAGCTTAAAATGACCCAAACAGGACAATGCCTGAACATACACAATATGACGATGGTACATGCAAGTCTTCTGAACTACAGTAAAAAAAAAACAACCAAAAACTGTTCTATTCTCAAACAACCATGCAATTTGGCATCACCCAGAGGAAATGGTGTGATTTCATTGTTCATTTAGCTGCAGGTCAACTAGTGTGTCCTCTTCAGTTTGATGATGCTCTTTGGGAAGAAATTGAAAAGGCGTGCATTTACTTCTTTAAGCACTATGTGGCAAAGGAACTTCTAGCCAAAAGTGATCTGTACAATCCCTGCTCCACAACACCCCTGTCTTCTCATGAGACACAAGGCACTTCCTCTGATCATCACATAGTCTGTGTTCCCCCATTACAGGATGACGACTCTCCCCTAAATATAACTTTATACAACATGTACAAATGCATCTACTACAAGTTCCAAAAGGAAAAAAGGGGAGAGGATGAAAGAAAAACTGTCAAAAGAACAGAGAAACCTGAGTTCAAATGTTGGAGATGTCTGAAGCTACATGTATGCAAGTATGAAGAGGATATTGGCAATGATTCAGAATTCAGTTTAGAATGTGATCAATGCCAGGTATAGTTTCATTGAGGCTGTGCTGACTTTGATTCAGGGATAAATTATGCAAGTTGTCGGAGGACCAGTCCTCACTGTATGGGTACTTAAAGTACATTGACATACATGTAGGCCTAGGTACTTTATCCACTTAAGGTTGACTCTTGTCTACAGGATAGAATTCAGGCATAGATCTATGGTTAAACTACTGAAATAAATGAAATTTGCCAAGAACCTCCTACATGCACATGAACATGTGTTTCAGATATGAAATAAAAGACATGGGTAAACAAAAAAGTTTGTTTGGTTATGGCTTAGGGTAATTTGAATACAGGTTGAACCTATAACCGAGTTCAGATTTTGGAAACTGAAACGGAATTCTTGTAAGACTTTTCCAAAAGGCTCATATAACGTTCACCATTGGAATATGCAGAGAAATTTTGGAACTAATTTTTTTTTATTTTGAGAGGATGGGAGGAGCCTTGTGGCCTCTTCCCTTTCACCACAAAACTGTGTCTGGAACAAAACTGTGTCTGAAAAATCTGACCAGATGGCACATACATGTATGGAACACCATAGGGGTGGGATTGCAAGATGTGTACCAATGCACATGAGATCTTTCTTAATGATGAATCCTTTATCAGTGAGGATCAAGTCTCCTCTCTCCAAATGGTCATAGAAACCACTCTCTTTGGGTGTGAACATGTGTGTTGCTATGGAGCAGAATGGTTTGTTCATCCAAAAAAACGATTGAAATGGCAAATTGACTTATCTGACTAAACTTTCCAAACCAGGGCCCATTGCAATTTTCATTTATGCAAACATCGTAAATCTTTGTACGCAATTTCTCACTGAACACATGCGTATACACGTGCACCCGAGAAGGAGCATAATGTAACTCACGCTCAACCCAACCACTTCTACTGTCAATCATTGGGGCTACGTAG